GCGTAGTCCTGGCATAGACGTATCGATAGCTATGCGTTGCCTGCCGTCGCACCTCAGGATATGCGAATCTTGGGGGTTGCTCCTACCTACTCCAGGTTTGGTGTTGGGAACGATGGCCCGTTGGGAGGCCCCTTGTTACTGGTTTCCCTATAAGTCCTTCGGTTCACTATATTCTTCGAGGCAGTTACATATGATAAAATTATTAATGGCTAATTCATCATCGTGTTCAATGCAGCATTGGAACGGGTAGGATGCACTCCCTACAACTTTGTATATTTGGACGCAAGCAGAGTTAGTTAGAGGGAATGCGAGGCACAAGTACAGGGAGTACACGGACTGTCTCGATGTCCTGACACAGCACCATGTTACGCTCTCTTTACTATCATACATGTGTCTTATTCGATGTACACTATATCACAACCTAACTCAATTACGAAATGTTCAGGTGCATTGGTGTCCTTGGAATGCTCCGGAGCTCCAGGACTATCTGAGTCATGTCACTACGGATGAGTTAGACGAGTATCGCTGCAACGTCCCTCTTATTTTCTTCCATGTGGTCAAGATTTACTTGCCCATCAGGGTTTGTAGGCAGTTTGGAAGAATGACAGGCTACCCACCACCGCTTTACTCCACCAACCATGAATTGCACGGGTACGTTATCGATTAATAACAAAGCTACAATTCAGAGGTGTGTATGGTATAATTAACAATCGTTTTGTTGCAGATATGACCGCAGGAAGAGGTGCAAGACCAAGGATTGGCGCGTGACACACAACGCGTACATCCAGTTGTGGTAGACCAGGGACCGGCAGCCGGTCGATGCGGGCCCCCCACACGACCAACACATCTTCGACGAGTACCTGCGGTGGCTTTACAGGTCTACGAGGACACATATCATGCCCACGTACACTGAGGTGGCGATTGACGAGGACGACGAGGAAGATGTGATCGAAGATGTGTACGACGTTGCCACTAGGGACGACACACAACTACAGAGAGCCCCGCTTTAAAGATACGTGGTAAGATACTCGAATGGTACAATTTGTTATCCATTTGGTATTAAGTATGTGTACTAAAACTGTCCAACCGCGTTTCTGTACCCAGGCGACACAATTGTCAAGGATGTCCAACGAAGCAGCGTTTCGGCTTGATGAGTCTAGAGGGTAGGGGTCAGGCGTTCTCGAGGCTTTTGTGGAAGTAAACATAAACTTGTCCGTTCCGAAAATATTTCTTTAGTGTATATGCATTTAGAAAATTCACTAACTTTAACATCTATTTATGCACGAAGGTGAAGCGGAGTCTGCAGGAAGCTAGCTCGAAGTTGAGCTGCATGGACACTCCTTGGGTGGAACCCGATTACTTTCATATAGTCGCGTGACCGTCTTACGGCTCTTTGAGGACACCATTCGGCTCTTCTCGGCCGGTGACGGTGTCGCTTGGCATCGCGTACACCACCACATTATAGTGTTGGGAAGGACCCTACAAACGAGGATGACGATGACGACCTCCCGGGCTTCCGCATACATCACCACCAGTGGGACCCTTGGCAGTAGGACGAGATCGGCATGTCTCAGCTAGGTGGTGCCCCGCTTGGTACCAAAGGAGCCTTACAGGTAGTAAGAAAGGTAGTTTCTTTAAATACGTAGGCTCAATGAACTAACGATCATAAAGATTATAAATAATCGTGCATATCATATACTTGCAGGGTACGAGCCGTACGCACCGGCAACGCGACCACACCGATGTTGGCTACACTCTCAATGTTTTGCCTACAAATCCGAAGAGACAGAGATGTCCGAGGGATCCTTACACTTCTGGGACTTAGTTGGTTATGTCAAACTTATGTCGAACGAATATTGTCGTCCGAAACTTGCAGACTTACTTGGTTATGTCGAACTTATGTCGAACCAATAAAAATGTCATGTGACAACTTGTCAACTTGCGCACGGACTCTATTTATTTGCTTCATATTCGTTTCAATGTGTCGCGGCGGCACTTGTAGTTGTTTACAGCACCGGCAACAGCTCCTGTTCAATTGCAATTGAGGCTGGTCGGCTTCTGTGTGCATCAAAGTCCTGCCGCGCCGTGGGTCTAGGCGCGTCAGTGCCGCGCCGTGGGCCTTGGCGCGTCAGTGCCGCGCCGTGGGCTATGGTGCGGCAGAACCTGCCACGTTACCGGTCAGCGTCCCGGTCGTCGCCACGTCATCCCCTCTCCGCGCCACCATGAATGGTGCGGCACAGGCATTTCGCCGCGCCAGAGAAATAGACGCGGCCAAAAATATTAGTTTTGGAAGAAAAAAAATAAAACAGTGTTATATTTAAAATTAGTTTAAAAAATGTTACAAATAAAAAAAAATGCCGCCGCAAAGAAGACAAGCAAGCATAGTGACAGCTGATCGAGCGCACGAGACGTACTACGTGTTTGCCGGTTTCCTCAGCACCTGCTGCGCCTGCGCGCACTAGTGCTTACACTGTTGCGCACGCGGTAAGGCCACGTTTAGTTGCACCAAATTTTTAACTCTATAAAAAAGAAGATTTCCCGTCACATCAAACTTGCGGTACATGTATGGAATACTAAATATTGATGAAATCAAAAATTAATTGCACAGTTTGGTTGTACTTTACGAGACGAACGTTTTGAGCCTAATTAGTGAACGATTGGACAATTATTATCAAATAAAAACAAAACATCACTGTACTACATTGTATCTACAGTGATTTCGTCGGCGCCGAATCAGCCGAACTAAACACGGCCTAAGACTAGCCACGATGTTGTAAAATGCCGGTGCCCAAACACTCTCTCTCCTCTCCCAGCATCGATGGCTAACATTGTGGTCGATGCCGAGTTGCCAGAAAAACTAGGCACCGGGTCACGTAGGTTCACCGATGCCTCGAACATAAAAAAATGCGATGGAAGGCGACCTCGGTGACTGCGGCTGGCCCGACTCGCGCTTGAAACGAATGAGAAGGAAGGGGAAAGGGGGTGTGGCTGGGGTCCACGCATGTGGATAGCCACGGTGCCCACGTTGTGGCTTAAGCAGGAGTTCAGGCACCGGTACAGCTGGTAGGATAAAATTTTTTTAAGCATCGCACACACTGTGGCTAGTCTAAGTAGCTTGGAAGGGAAGGACGAAAGCGGCCCATGCTTCCAAGCTAGTACTTCTGTTCCAAAACATGCCTGTGGGTGTACTTTTCGCATGTGCTAGTACTTCTGTTCCAAAACGCAAGCAGCTGATCGATGTGGTGTCATCAGGCTGTAAGCCTCCGTTTTCCTACGGACCAAATATAAGAAGCCGTACATTTATGCTATACAAATCTGACGTGGCCTTTTTACAGCTGGAAGAAAATTATGATAACTTTTTCTCAAGAAAATATGGTCAAGTGGGATCTTATTTTGTACATCCACCAGCGCACTCCTGTTTTGAAAAAGCTGACGCCCTCCTCCATGCAATGGACCTCACTGCTCCATCCCCTAAACCCGCGCTATAGGAAAATTTGGTGACCACGGCGCACACTCTATTTCCTCTGCGTTTCTTTTGAGTCACTGACAAGCGGGCCGAGCTATATATATATATATAGAGAGAGAGACACGCACGCATGTGGTTGGAATTGGAATTGGAACGTGCACCGAAATAATGCCCTCTGCGATTGACCTGGTCGTCCGATATTCATCTCATCGTCTGTCCTTTTCTTTCGAGAACTAACATGCATGCATGTGGTGTATTACTAGTTCTTTTTGTGATATAGATAGACGCGACGAACGAGACCGGAAGTACTATCAGATAGTCGATCGGGACCAATGGTGGTTATCATTTAGCACACGGTACTGTCGTTATTACTAGTTCTTCTTTTTGTGAAGCTAATAGTGGTATATGGAGCGAGAGAGGCAAACTTTGACGACGCATGCACACGCGCTCGCTCTGTCCACGTCAACTGGTACGGTGCCCAAAGCCCCTCCTTTTGTTTCTACTCGCGAAAGTACCACGATAGTCACATAGATAATATGACCACTTGGGCATTGTATTACACGGTGCGTACGTAGTACGCGTTCGACGAGACCGGATCATAATAAGCCTTACAAATAAATTACAATTGTCGTCAGTTTGGCTATCTAGCTACCCTTAGTCCAACGTTAGGTGTAACACAAGTACACAAGGTGCACTTTTACAGAAGCAGGATGCACAGAAAAAACGATGCATCATACATTCAAGGAAACTATTACTAAATCTTTCTTCAGAATTATAGGGATTAAGCCCCAGTACGTCTTAGAATAAGTACTACTAAATCTGAATATGAAAAAAAAAGAGAGGACCTGTAGACCATCAAAAACCAACCACTAACCACAAAAAATGACTCCTTTCCTCCATCCAGGGATCAATCGATCGGATCTGCACCAGTCAGCAGTCACCAAACTTAGCTAGCACCTCACCTCGATCGGATCGGACATGCATGCACTAGAGGCAAAGCAATCCTAGCTAGCATATATAACCTAGCTAGCTTTTCTTGCCGACCGAGATTTCCTGGTTCTCGCCTCGTTGCGTGCGAGGAACATGGTTCCTTTTCCAATTCCATCGAGATCGCGCGTACGTGACGACGAACTGGGATGGTTGCTCGTTCCACCTTTGAGCCCGGTCCGGTCCTAACCCAAACCTAGTAATACTTTATTTAATGGTAGTTGTTGCACATTGCCTTATACTAATGGTAATTGTTGCACATTGCCTTATACTAATGGTAGTTGTGTTGCACATTGCCTTATACTAAGTATACCAACTAACACATAGTTTGCGACGACTAATATAATGACCGTTTACTAATGCCATACATGACTAGCTACGGACGACACGGCATTCCTATATATAGTACTCCCCGTGCCGCCCAAGACAGGCTATACCTCGTCGTGCTCCTGCAAATTAGCTTCAGTTTGTTCGATCCAAAAGCTTTGCTACATACCTAGCTCCGGTTGGTCGCTCGCGTCGACGACCAGACCAACCAGCAGCAGCCATGGACGGCCGGGACGACTTCTTCAGCGACTTCATGGTGCTGCGGCCGGACAAGGGCGGCGTCCGGAGCCTGCTGCACCTGCTGTGCTCCTGCAAGGTCGCCGACAACGACGCCGTCGACAGCCCCGTCGGCACCGAGGTCGCCGAGCGGCGGCGGAGGTGGGCCATCTTCGTCTCCCTCGTTGTGCAGATGCTGCTGCTGTCGGTCAAGACGCCCCTGGCGGCCTTCGGGAGGGCCGTCGAGTACTGGATGAACCTGCTCACGTACAATGGTGGCAGCGTCATTGGGCTTGTCAGGAACGCTGTGCAAGGTACATATGAACATGATCAGTTCTTTCTTTCCTTAATTAACATGATGAGCATAAGAATAAAATATAATGGGTGCGCGTATCCAACTACTCCAGCACATAAAAATGGGTATATACACAGACAGATATACTTAAGATGATGCGCCTTCTGTTCTCTCTCTCTATATATATATATATCTATATATATATATATATATATATATATATATATATACCGATCGAACGGCCATGAAATAACAGCGACGTGGACGCGCTGGCTGAGCGAGCTGGCCACAACTAATCATATATATATATATATATATATATATATATATATATATATATATATATATATATATATATATATATATATATAACGATCGTTGCCTTTTAAATTTCTTGATTGACGTGTACTAACTAATCTTTTGAAAGGTGAAAAAAAATATTCGTGCATTTTTTTTGCGTTTGGTTTCCAAATTTTCCAGCCTATATTTCCTTGAAATATCTTTCTTCATTTGCATATTTGTGTATTCGCTAAAAGAACAAGACACAAGGTTTAGACCTTGTTTGGAACATAGGAATTCTTTCCTATTCCTACCTTTTCCATGTGCAACTGAGTTTATTTCTATGAAATTCCTATACGATTCTTTTGATGCGTTCCAAACGGACACTTATCTTTTTCTTCTAAATCATGTCTGTCTCTTCTTTTGTTTGTGCACGCACACAGATAAACATATAGATAAGAGATATTTTACGGTGCTTGGGAGGAACCACCCGTTCCTCTCCATGATAATTATTTTATAAGGGCAGCTTAGTAATTGTATCCCTCCCGTCCGCCCAGTGCTCGGCTCCCAGGGGACCTCGTCGGTGATTGGGCCGCCTCGCGCTTCTATCCTACCTGATCCACCGCCGCAGCCCTCATCGATCGAATACTGAACACCGGTTAATGCTTGGGCTGTCGAACTAGCCTATTACCCAGACCCACTATGTCCGCAATGTCCCATGCCGTCAGATCGTGTCCAGGAACTCCATGTTTCTCTGAGGCATCTCCTTCAACAACAGCTCAGCTTCGTTCGTCGATGAGGTGGGTGACGGAGCGCTTAACTAATAACTTCTGGACGAGAGCTCAGTAGAATATAATAGCCTGCAGATCGGGCGTGTTTGCGTCCGTGCATAAGCTCCTAGGTGGCGAGCGCTGCAGCCCGACATGGCCGGCGGGTGCCGCCGAGAAGAGCTTTTCCGATCATGGCCAGCGAGTCCACCGCAGCTTAATATCGTTGCTACGCGGAAGTACCATTTTACCCTCCATAATTTAATTAGAACTGGTTCTGGATCCATTAAATTTTAGTTCCGGCCCACATATTAAGTTCCTCCTATTTCTTAACTATCCGATTTAGCCAAACGGATGGCTCTAATTATTTCCAAGCACCATAAAATTTCTCTATAGATATTTGCATAAATTGTTCTACATGTGCACGATTTGGCACCCCGTACATGTACAACTTTTTTTTTGATATTTTCTTTGAAGTCTCGAAGTTCATCTACCCGTAATATAATGGTTGTAGAAACAGTTTAGTTGATAAAGTATGAATGAATTTCCCAAAAGAATGAACATGATCCTAATAAACAAACACCCGTTTGGGAACGCAGAAGTTATTTTCTCGATCCAATCTAACTATTAACAAATGAATGTTGTTGTACCACGAATTAGATGGAGGGTATTATATATTCTTTTTTAAAAAATATATCTTATTTATGAATACGTAGCTAAGAATGCAAAGTCAAATGATGCCATCATTTATGAATTGATCAATCTGATAAGATGGAATGAAAGCAAACACAACTGCTTAAATATATCATTCGAATGCAGACATATAGTAAGTGATATATAGTACATGCCTAGTTTATCGCTTATTCGCTTTGTGATATTTAACAATGCTGCAAGGATCAGCATGCCTAGTTTCCTGTCCCGCGAGAATTTAAAAAGAGTTGCTTTCTATAAAAGCAGGGTTTTCCTCCTAAAAAAAAAAGAATTTAAAAAGAGTTATCACCTGTTTAAGAGTTAATTAGTAACACGTCATTAGAATTACATGACTATTGAAGTATTGATGGATGTCACACAACTGTATCAGTCATAAAAAATAATATAATTTGTAGATTATACATTCTGGTGCAGGGATACCTCAAATCGTTCTAGTGGAGTTAAGTACTTTCAGACATTCCTACTTTATTAACATGTGAAGAAGTCAATTCAATCATTCTTAGCTTCCTCCTGAAGATAAGGATGTTGTCAGTTCCTTATACTTAACAATAAGTTGAGTTGGGTGTCTTAATGGTTTAAGCAACTAGTTGAATATTGTCTTTTGCTTTCTGTCGTGGGCACTAACTGTGGCAATCATTTCCTTGATAGAAGGGAATTATTTCCCCTGTAGTATGCTTTAGTTGTCACTTAGGACTTAGGGCCAGTTTGAATGCCAATTTTTTTGGCAAAACGTTACTGTAGTGTTTTCGTTGTTATTTGTTAATTAGTGTCCAATCATAGTCTAATTAGGCTTAAAAGATTCGTCTCGTGGATTTCGTCTAAACTGTGTAATTAGTTTTATTTTTTATTTATATTTAATGCTTCATGCATGCGTCAAAGATTCGATGTGACGGGGAATCTTGAAAAATTTGGCATTTTGGGGTGAATAAAGTACTGTAAGGTTGCTGGTGCAAGTATGCATTCTAGGATGACAAATATTTTGGTTTGATGATGTAGCTTGCTTTTTAGTTTGAAATTAGAAATCAAGCATGAGTTCAGAAAAGTGGCAAGTTCGTTCCTTTGCAGATCTGCATTACACCAAATGTTTGATAATCCTCATTCTCATTTCAGTTCACTTTCTAGACATTGGATGGATCAGCCATACTTAAGTGTGGAAAACGCACAACTGATCATTTGGTTTTTGAAAGTCAAACAGAAACCCACATGTTCCACAAGAAGACAAACATTGTTAATTGACTTTGTTTTTCAAACAAGTACGCAGACAGCTCTAGGTTTTCAACCGAGTATATGACCTTCCTAACAGTACTATGTACATACATCCATGTTCCGTAATTTTCACCTCAAATTACAAACAACAATCACGCTGCTTTTCAAACTAGTACGATAACAATGACATTGGTTTCCAAGGAAGAACAACAAGAACTAAATTCATCCGTTGTTTCCACCGAACCATAAATTGCAGGGAAAGTACGAACTCCGGACAGGACATCTCCAAATTACCGGTCCTTCATCGGATTAGTTGACACGAGAATTGAACTGGACAAGAAGATCAAGGCAGCGGATAGCAGCTATAACGCAGCTCTTGGTATCATGGCTGCAAAGCTAGCCTACGAGAACAAACTCGTCATCAAAAACGTCGTCGAAAGCAATTGGCAGGTGCAGATATGCAGAGTTCTGCAGTAATTTTTTTTGTTACTTTCTCAAAAGAGAACATGATTTTCATGCTATCAGTGTCTTAAATATCTCCACTGTTCGTGGTTCTGCAGATGACGTTCTTGGAGTTCTTCAACTGTTGGAATGGTACGTATACGTACGATCCGTTGTTCAGTACCACGTTCAGTCGTTGCATGCCATGCGTATTAGATGAAGTGATTAACACGCGTGCGTACGCGCTGTGTGCTTTCTTTGCAGAATTCAGGGGCGACTACACCACCCAGGCGTTCATGCTGGCGGACAAGCCCGCGGACGCGGAGCTCGCCGTGATCGCGTTCCGCGGCACGCAGCCGTTCGACGCGGAGCAGTGGTGCACGGACGTGGACTTCTCGTGGTACGAGATCCCCGGCGTGGGCAAGGTCCACGGCGGCTTCATGAAGGCGCTCGGCCTGCAGAAGAACACCGGGTGGCCGGTGCAGCCCTCCGAGGCCGAGACGAAGCGCCAGTACGCGTACTACACCATCCGCGAGAAGCTGCGCGCGTTCCTGGCGGCGAACCCGCGCGCGCGCTTCGTGGTGACGGGGCACAGCCTGGGCGGCGCCCTGGCTGTGCTGTTCCCGGCCGTGCTGGCGCTGCACGGGGAGGACGTCCTGCTGGAGCGCCTGGCCGGCGTGTACACGTACGGGCAGCCCCGCGTCGGGGATGCGCAGCTGGGGCGGTTCATGGAGGCGCACCTGGACCGCCCACGGCGGCGCTACTTCCGGTTCGTGTACTGCAATGACGTCGTGCCGCGGGTGCCCTACGACGACGCGGCGCTCCTGTTCAAGCACTTCGGGCTCTGCCTCTACATCGACAGCCTCTACAGGGCGGAGGCGGTGGCGGAGGAGCCCAACAAGAACTACTTCTCGCCGCTGTTCGTGGTGCCCAAGTACGCGAACGCGGCGTGGGAGCTGCTCCGGGGGTTCCTCATCGGCCACGTGTGCGGCGCCGTGTACGCGGAGGGGTGGGTCATGCGGGCCGCCAGGGCCGTCGGGCTCGTGGTTCCCGGCCTGCCGCCGCACTCGCCGCAGGACTACGTCAATGCCACCAGGCTCGGCGGCGCCTCGCTGGAGCTGCTGCTCCGTGATTAGAGCTTGTGGAAGAATTCGTGGAAAACAGAGGACAGAATTCACATGTATGCCCAATGATAAACTTCGGCTTAATTTGTCACAAGTACATACATCATCAAAGCAATTGTTCACGATACCGTACGTAGTGCCTTGCGTCCTTGGATCGCTAGTTGACGCCTATGTTAGCAGTAGTAGCACGCATGCTGACGATCGGTACAGAATGTTGTAGAGATAGAACAGCGCTGGACATAGAAGCGAAGCAACCAATGCCCGGCAGGTACGGCAAGGCTGGACAGTGACAGTCGGGAGCACAGCCTTCGTCGCTTACTCCACGGTTTAATCATGGGTTGCATACTCTTGCAAGGCTCGTTAGAGTAGCCTACTAACAGCAGGAAAGGCATGTATGGTCGCCTGGCCGGGTCATCCTAATCTATATCTATGTGACTATTATATCTTTCCACTCAATTTTATACTCCCTTCGTCATTTAATATAATGTATTCAAGCATTCAAAAATTATGGCCAAATATAAGATATTTTAGGGGACAAGAGATATTTTTGCATTAAATAGTAGCACAAATTTGGTAGATGTTATTTTGTTACTTATTATTTATCATTCAATCTCCACTAATCACATTCACAATAGTGTTTGATTGAGAAATGATGGGTATATGTGTCTTTTGTACCCCCCTTAATTTGTCCTAAAATCTCTAAATTACACTATATTATAGGACAACAAGAGTAGTAGCATAGCATCGTAGAGGCAGAGCTTCGGCCCATAGATCATTGTCGCCCTTTCACTGCTAAAGAGCACATCCATGTTGGTCGAGCTCCGTGCGCTCAGGACTGATGTTTCAATAGCTAGGACCCTGGGTAGACTAAAGCCAGAGAGGGCCGAAGGAAGGAGGACCTCATGCAGACAAGAACAAGGGAGGGCGGCAAGGGGATCCACTGGTTGGACCTATGGTTCTACTTGTGCACCTCAATCCACCTAGAAAGTGGAGGGGTGTGGGGAGGTTCGTATGTAGGGTGGGGCAGTCAAGCTTGGCCAATAGAGACGAGGGAGGTAGCGTCCAAATTTGAGCGTGATAGCGGTGGAGGTGGCGCATAGGCAAGAGGGAAACAAGCGTTTATGTGGGCATAGGTGGGGAAGGAAGGAGCTGAAGGGCACAAATAGAAAGTATGAGGTGTGAGAAGACCACCCAGGATGAGAGGTGGAGGGAGAAAAGTAGGGGGCCTCCTACTTGGTACCTAAGTAAGTAGGGGAGCTGTTGGAGTGAGGCTCTTGCACTTTGATACCTAAAAGTAGCTAGGGTAGTAGTCTACTAGAGTTGCTTTTAGATAGCTGAGGTGATGATGCTCTTGCTTGTTAGCATTGAATTGGAAGTCGACTTTCTTGATTCAAGGGGTTACTTCTCGTCCATGGGGCCGTTGAGCCAGATCAGCTCGGACACTAGCAAATCACGCTTCACATCAGCACACCTAACATTGCCTTTTAGATCTTATCTCCTAACAAAATCTGCTCTTCCTCGGCCTCCTCTGCCGCCCTATTGCTGAAGCAGTAGGATAGTTGCTTCCGCACCTGTTCGCGTCCCCCTCAAACATAGAGCACCCGCATTGCGGGGATGTAGGAAAAGGAAGAAGACATGCATGTGCTTCCGTGCAGCCGTGGAAAAGAAATTTGATTGTTTTTTCTTCTTCTATTGTTTATTTCTTTCATGGGTCTGCATACTACTCTCTCGGTCCCCCCCCCCCAACCCCCCAAAAAAAAACTGCAATTCTAGAACTAAAGGGAGAAACAAAGGTAGTTGACAAATTACAAAAAATACTCATATATCTAACATTGCAGTTCTTTTTTTAATTGGAAAAGCACGCGAACAAATGAGCCGTCTAGCCGCCACATCGCCTTTCTTCTACGGGAGATGTGCATGCTGGTGATTTGAGTGGGTACTACATAGCCCTGCTACCTATATGAGTATTTTTAGGACAAATTTTGAATTGTAGAAGTGCAGTTTTGTGGGACGTGGGAGTAGGTGCAATAAACTAGATATAGCAAAAAAAAAAAAATGCTATCAAAACCTATTTGACGTGGCCTAGTCTTAGCACCTTAGGTACTGTCATACACTATGTATGCTCTAAGATGTCTATGGCACTAAATTGCGATTTGCGAGGGGTCTATAATCTTTATATGCAACTAAATTATGTTGTTTCATAAGCATTTATTATTTCTTATAAGTAGTTAAATATAAAATTTATCAGCAATTAACTGTGACCCACGATACTTGATACAATAGGATAAAATAAAACCCAAGCCTTAAGTATTGGCTTCACTGTGTTTCAAAAGTTTTGGAAATATTTCCATCCAGATGAAACGTCTCTCCTTCATCTCTTCGTCGTAACCCTAATATTATATCATTAATTTTGTTTATATGACATCTTATTAAATGAGATTAAAACTATGTGTGTGTGTTTTTTTAGTTCAGGGCTGATAGACCTAACTACCCTAAATTTTTCAATGTTCCACGTCTGGACCTGAAAAAACACTCATAATTCGAAGAAATATTTCACGGGGCAACAGAACTGCACAAGTGTACACACGTCACACGCGGCAGCCGTTGTAGTGTTTACCATCCAGGATTCAGCCTACCGGATTCAACCGGCCCAGCAACCCAATACGCCTTCCTGAACCCACCCCTCTCGGCCTCTTGCCTCAATCGGCCCAAAACCCTCAATCCAAGCGTCCATTCCTGAATTCCTCCCCGGCCGGCAGCCGCCACCCGCCGCCGCCATGAACTCCGTTCACAGCGAGGCGGCCGCTGCTGAGAAAGCGCGGCGCAAGAAGGACAAGAGGGAGAAGAGGAAGAAGCGCAAGGACGCCAAGGAGGACGACTGCGGCGCCGCGACGGCCGAGGAAGAAGCACCCAAAGAGAAGAAGCAGAAGCAGAGGAAGGACGAAGACGAGCGGGAGGGGGAGGAGAAGAAGAAGCCGAAGCCGACGGTGAGCATCGCCGTTGCCGGCTCCATCATCGACAACGCCCAGTCCCTCGAGCTCGCCACCCTCGTCCGTACCCACCTTTCCTCCTTGTCGCACTAGTCCTTGCTATATCTTGCAGCACGAATCCTTACAAGAGCATCTCTTCTGTTTCAGCTGGCCGGCCAGATCGCTCGCGCCGCCACCGTCTTCCGCATAGACGAGGTCGTCGTCTTTGACAGTACTCCCGCGGCGGAGAATGGCGGCGCGGGTGATGGTGAAGAGAGTGGCGCGCGGTTCCTTGTTCGGATTCTGGAGTATCTGGAAACTCCACAGTACCTCCGCCGCCGCCTCTTCCCGATGCACAAGAACCTGAAGTTTGTGGTGAGATGCCAAGCAATGTGGTTGCCCTCGACATTTGATGATTTGTCTAGGTACTAATGGTGCTGTGCTGTTTCTGGTATGCAGGGATTGCTTCCACCGCTCGATGCGCCACACCATGTGCGCAAGCATGAATGGTCTGAGTTTCGTGAAGGTGACATCCCTTCTGGTGCCCTTGCTATTGATTTTAAATTCTGAGCTCACAATTTGAAGTAGGGTTTCATGTCTGTCAAAAAGAGTGCTGATAACTAGTTAAAATAACTTTTACCATTTCTTGTGGAGCTAATCTAGGAATATTGTGTCTTCTTATAATTCAAGCGCAACACATGCTGAACATCTGTAATGGAACACAAATGTGCACTTATAAATTAGAATATGGCCATTTAAGGCTCTTTTGCTAATCAAGCTTGGACATCTTCCTTTTAAATTTCAATTGTTACTCATTGCCTTTGCTCTCGCATTTGGAAGGTCTCTCGAACTCTAAAAAAGGTCTGGCCGAACTTGGTTAGTGTAGTACAATATGGTGATGACAAAGGGGTGTTCCCCTCTGTAGGTTTTGGATTGGATTGCTACTGCTCGTTCAGAGGGGACATTTGAAGGTTGACATCCTTTCGACACTACTGAACTAGTGATTAGTGAAAGTAAACGAATACCAATATATGGTGAGGAGATATTTAGTTCAAACACACAGTTAGGTGGAAAAGTGCATAACGATTTGGTTAGTACACCAATTAACACTCAAAGTTTCTGGGAATACTTGGGATGTAATTCTGATACTCTACCTATGTGGCCTTTGAAGTTCACCCTGTACTGGGAATAAGAAACTGAGAAATTTCTTATACATGTTAAATCAAATGAAGTTTTGTTGCTATCCACACCAAGCACAGCTTGCTTTTTCCTGTATCTTGTTTGGAGGTTGCATTTCAAATGGTCTTACAACATATAGTGCATCATGCATATTTTTTAAGTATTTTCTCATGTCGATTTGATGCCCAAACTGGAAGTCTTTGCACCTAATTCTGTTTTTACATTGCAATATGCATCTCTGCTGGCATGGTGGATTTCTACTACTTGTTCAAATCATGTTCAGCTCGCTCATGTTGAATAATTGTCTGTTTCCACATATTTTTATATTTCTGACCCAACAAATGCTTACATGTTACTGAATTTAGACAGGTGTAACATTGGAAAGTGATCCCTCAAAGGGGACTCTTGTTGATGTCGGATTAAGTAAGGTATTATGGATCTTCTAGTGTCCTTTTCTTTGTTCTGTGCCACTTGTCTGGGGAAAGGCGCTTACTGAGTTTGAAGATATGTTGAAAGACTGGGGAAAGCCTATCATATCTTACAATCTATGGGAGTATATAAATGGACACAGCCTTATGAAAATCTTAAATATAATTTTGCTTACGTTAATTGACTTATTTTCTGTAAATAAGGCTTTTTAAGGCAGACAATGAGGTTAGGAAAAACAAATCCCAATATTTGACAGACCTTAATCTATCATTTACAGATAAAAAAAACATTTCACAATGTGTATTATCTGATTTGCACTTAATGGTTTCATATATAGAACAGATCACCACTTCCATGCAAAAAATGTGGCATTGATTCTAGTTTATCATGATTCTGCAGAATGTTCTGGTTGAACAAACACTAGAACCAGGCAAAAGAGTAACTGTAGCCATGGGAACAAACCGTGACCTAACAACAGGTAAACCAGTCATTTATGGATTGCAAAATATGATTGTGTTGATACTTCTTTATCTATACCTTTTCCAATGTATGAAGAATTTGTACATGTCTTAAGTAATCTAGATAATCCGCATAAAGGCTATTCCTATTTCCTAGCATTTACATTTGGCAGTAATTCAACACTTCTATCATTAGAACAAATTTAGTTCATGATATTTGTTGGCTTGTTGCTTCCTCTTCAACTTTTGGTCTTTCTCATTTCAAGTTTTCAACTCATAAGTGTTGTTCTCAATGTATTCTTCTGATGTATTTTTGTTTTTCAAATCAATTTTGAAACCAAGTTATGTTGCCTATTCTTGTGCAGTATGTCTCTCTATGTCCTCATACTAGAGCAGTATTAACTTTAACTGTGTACTGTTTTTATTTTGCCATTTTGCTGTAACTTAACTTGTACCTGCATCTAGCTTGCATAAGGAAAGTTGTCCCCCCTTCCACACCCAGGGAACAGATGGGATCTTATTGGGGCTACAAAGTTCGTTATACTTCAAATTTAAGTAGTGTTTTCAAAAATTCTCCATTCAAGGTACTGTTTTCACATCTTGCTGTTCAGAAAAAAAGTTGTGTTATGATTACTCACTTCCACCTTCCTTTGTTTTGTTATTTACTATCCCTAGGAAGAATACGACCATATCATTGGCACCTCAGAGCATGGACAAATAGTTAATTCTTCTGAGCTTACCTTGCCTACTTTTAGGTATGCCATCTGCTGTTCTCATGGACCACCTTGAGAAACCAATTTAGATTTGTTACCATTTCTTTTATTACTTGAATGTGTAAATTCCTCCGAATTTGCTTAGGATGCTTCAGCTTTATTTGAGTATGCTAAACTGTACGTTTCAACAAATAGTCAAATAGTTGTGGACACATGTTTTATGTGCTAACCTGTGCTAATAATTCTTGCTAAGCAGTAAGCAAGTAGCTGCTACCTTACCTTTGTGTTAAATTATCATGAGTGGATAAACATTTAACCAAGGAATGTGTACCTTCACTTAAGTATTGAAATGATACGTTTTAGTAAAATTCTTTCTATAGTAACTATTGGCTAGTATTGTGCTATTGCCATATTCCAAGGCTGAGCATTGTAACCATCTGTGTATGCTTTATGAATGACCCTTGCCATGTATATTAGCGACCATTGTGAGTCTATCCGGTCACTTATGAGGCTTTACTGAACAGGCACCTGCTCATTGCATTCGGTGGACTTGCTGGTTTGGAAGAAAGCATTGAAGAAGATACAAATTTGAAGGTATATCTGTTATTTCTGTTATGATACTTCATATTTCTAATGAAACCTGATCTCTTGCATGGAAATTAGGAGTTATGAAAGCATTTCTGGTCTATGGTCAAATTGAGAGTACTTGAAATGTCAACATTGCATGAGAACCTGAGCTAATTTGGTAGCTGAAACATTCAGCTTGTGTTTGCGGGGACTCTTTCACTTAATTAATGATTGTAATATTACTACTGTTGGTGTTGAAGTCACTTATTTCTGTGACAGGGTAAACGTGCAGATGATGTATTCACATCTTATTTGAATACATGCCCCAACCAAGGGAGCAGAACAATAAGAACAGAGGTACCTGCCTCTTGTAAGCTTTTAAAATTTCAGTTGTTATGACATCTGTTGGTATGCTAACAGCAGTAGAGAATTCTTTTTTCCAGGAGGCACTTCTCATTTCCCTCCAATACTTCCAAGATCCCATTAGGCGAGCGGAACAGAAAATGTAGAAGGTAATACAGACATGCAAATCTAGCGATGCCCCACAAGTTGACCCTGTCAGCTACAGAGCTTCACTTGCAATGGTGGAGTTCTCTCACTGAGAATTTTACCTATGTGGTGATGACAGTGGAGCCAAGAGGTTGTGAGCCATAGAGGACATTTTGACACAACTATTTCGGTTTAGAAAAATTGATGTGGAGCTGACTTAAGTGAAAGTGAGTGTTAGCTTGCCATTTCGACGTATCCAGTGGTTGTCCACTGTAGTCTATCTCTGTTTCATACTTTCATGCCTTTGACAATGTACTAAAAACGGAGGATCGCTTTTAGCACCATAAGGCCATGCTTGACGCAGTGCTATTCTTTGTTAGGCTACATTGTGCTTGATTTGGAGTCAATACTGCATAATGCAATTGATGATCACCATTAGTAGCAGTGATGGTTCATGTTGTATTGGTGTCATGGTTTAGTTCTCCTTCAGTTCCATAATGAAGTATGTGCATTAGAGAGTAGTGCTGCCTTTGTGATTGATGGGTGTGTATTTATGTGCCCTCGAGCCAAATCCCAGATGGATTTTGATCCACTAGGGTTTTTGGGTTACAATTGCCCATAAGAGGAGGCGGTTGAGTGTATTGGAGAATTGTTCGTATGCCGGCGTCATCACCCCGTGGTGATTCGTGTCTGTGTCGGAGTCGGACACAAATCACAATCAATACCGCTTTCTTATAAGGCCCGATCCAGAGGGGCGAGTCCAGCCCACGTACGTCTCACGCCAGCCACCGCCATCCTCCCTCCCTATCCGCCGACACGCGCGACGCCGGCCGCCGCCATTTCCGCGTAGCGCGAGCGAGAGGACGCAGGCGACCGCAACCGCCGCCATTTCGCGTAGCGCGAGCGAGAGGACGCAGGCGACCGCACCCACCGCCAAGAAGATGCCTGGCTATGGCCGAGTCGCAGCGCGCGACGAACTCCGCTCGAAGACGATGGACTTGGCTCCGTCCGAGCTCACCGCCCCTGATCCGCGCCAGGTGCTGAGGAAGAGGCTCGGCGAGGAGATGGAGGCGCTCCGCGGCATCCTCAGGAAGGCCGAGCTCGTGGTGCGCAAGAATATCGACAAGGGCCGCGCGGCACCTCGCCGCGGCAAGGACGGGCGTTTCTTGGCCGCAGAAGCCCGATCAGAGGCCATGGACGAGATCTCAGCTTGGTTACCCGACTGTCGTCGCTCTCGTCGAACATGCCGACGCGCATCCTCGAGTTCCTGAACAAGGAGTGCACGGGTCACACAAACGAAAAGGCTGAGGAGATAGAGATCGATCTGGGATCCATGACGCGCTCCGCCATGTTCGAGCTGCAGAAGTTGCTGGACGAGTTTGCTGAAGAAGAGAAGCGTCGGCAGCAGAAAGAGGAGTCGATGAACGTCTGCAGATCCATTAGTCGCTCATCTTCCCGTGAACTAGAGGAAGGTGAGTTCATCGAAGAGGATTGTAGTGCCACCACGGATTGCGGCGATGCTTCTCCTGTTGTGGCATGTAAGGGCCTTTCTTCACCGCCACGAATACTTGAAGACGGAAAGATGACAGAGGAAGAGGACGCCATATGCGGCGACACTGGCCCTGTTGCAACCGCTGAGACCGCAAAAAGCCCAAGCAACAGCAGTTCGTCTGGATCCTCCAGCAGCAGTGATGGTTCATCTGGATCTTCTTGCGATTCATCAAATTCAGACCACAGCGACTTAGACTCTGACAATGAATGCATGACAAGCAATGTGGCTCCTGCCGTTCTTCCCATTCCCAAGGCCGACGCCTCTGCCATAGCAATGCCAACCAAGGGCCTTTGCTCACCGCCACGAAACGATGACAGAGGAGGAGGAGGTCGACATTGCGGCGACACAGGCCCTGTTGCAACCGAGAAGTTTGTTGAAACAGCAAAAAGCCCCAAGCAGCAACCGCAGCTCTAGCAGTTCGTCTGGATCCTCCACCAGCGGCGGCAGTTCATCTGGATCTTCATGCAGCGATTCATCAGATTCTGACAGCAGCGACTCTGGCTCCGACGATGAGTGTGTGACAATCAATCCGGCTCCTGAAGTTCTTCCCAAGACCGACGCCTCTCCCATGGCAATGCCACACAAGGTTCTCAGTCCCATCGCTGAAGAGGAGTTTGCTGAAACTAGGAACTGCCGAAGAAGCAACAGTTCATTACTTGAAGATGGCGAGATAGAAGAAGAGCACGGCACCTCCCCTGTGGCTGCAGAGAAGTTTGCTGAAACCGTCAACAGTACAGGATCTGCCAATGGCCAATGCGTTAGAAGCAGCCTGCCTCGTACCGTCCGTCCGGAGCCATCGAAGCCACAGCCAGCGGCACAAGGCACTGTTCGTCGTTTCTATGCCAAAGGTTTTGAGAAGAAGCGCGAGAGGGCTGTGGCTGCACAAGGCACCGTTGGTCATTTCTATGCCAAGGCTTTTGAGAAGAAGCGCGAGAGGCAGAGAGCCTACGAAAAGCTGGAAGAGATGGAGAGGAACGCGAAGGCGAAGCCCATCTTCGACTGGATACACCCGGGACACTTGAGGCAGCTAGGGATCACCACCCCGGTGGAGTACGCTGTCACCTCGGAGCGGCGTTTTCCTGCTCGTCATGGCTGCCCGGTGCAGAGTCTACTTGGGCTCTTCTTGAAAGCATAGTAGCAGACCACGGAGATGGCAAAGGATCCACTAGATACTCCAAGACCTATTGGAAACTTATTACAGTAGGTTCAAATCATACATGATGTAAAGTGTTTATGTAATCCGGCTGTACTTTCTGTCGCACAGTATGATGTACTTGTGATGTTGTAATCTGTATGCTGTCGAGTGTTGAGCCCTACAAAAGCTTATCGAGCATTGATCAGTCTAGTGAATCTGATGTATATTGCCTTGAAACCAGTTAACATTGCGCCATTGTGTTGTACTTCTAGACAAGTATACATCAGGTTAATATATGCTGAGGAAGCTGTACATGGTTAGCTATGTTTGCGGTCTAAGAATGAAAATATCCATATATTATTCTGGGGGGAAAACTGTCCGCAGCATTGCAATACAAAATATATGTTCCTAACCCAGATTTACCCACGTATAATGGGACTGCATCTGGAGCAAAGCCAATTTCGTAGACAGATGCAATCTAAAGATATACGACGTGCGACTGCATTTGGAGCAAAGCCAATTTCGTAGACAGATGCAAGATATACGATCTACTCCTAGACAATTGATCCAAGTCGGGCACACTGGATGCAGCAGCCAGCAGGTTAGCCATCATCCCGTTTATCCAATGTGGCCCAGTCAATGTTTACCCAAACCCGCCGTGGAATATTTAATTTGCTTTGCTCTTATTATTTTGAATGCAATATGCATTTTCTCACGAGTAAATAGAAGCAACAGCGCAAGTCATGATAAACTTACACAAAGACAACGAAACTTGCTGAAGTTAGGTTTTTTTTTGTTAGTTACTTACACAGCAAATCTCTTGGCAAACTCACGAATATAAGCATCTTATATTGATTTCATCACGTTTTCATACAAAGACTATTTATTAGTTGATAGCCAAAATTTCGTTTCTGTGATCTGAAGTACACATTGCTTTTGTCCATTGCTGGAGCTATTGGTATGCCCAAATATTGTGACTGGGTAAGAGGCGCTTCACTGTTTTTATGAACAAAAGCACTTCTTAACCACGAAAAGGTGTTTTCCTTATTGCGTCCAACTTCGAAGCCATCTCTTGTGCCAAACTTATTCTCCCTCCTTCAACAAGAGCTTCCTTCAAATTACTGAAAAGCTGACCAGGTGGCCTAATTCCTTTGTCCAGCATCTCCTGGAAATATACGCAAGCTTCTTCGAGCCTGTTCTCAAAGCATAACCCATTGATCAATGCCGAAAACATATGCATACATGGGAGGACACCTCTCTCCCCCATTTGCTTCCACACCTTCAATGCCATATCAACTCTTCCGTTACTACAGAACATGCCAACCATCATTGTATAAGTATTGAGCTGAGGCTCACAGCCGTCCATTCCCATTCTCTGGAATATATTATAAGCCTCCTCAAATTTCTGTGATTTTATCAGATAATGAAGAATTACATCATAAGTACGGGAATTTGGACCAATTTTACACTTCCTCATCTCGTCAACCATCTTGAAAGCATGCTGAAACTTTGAGGCTCTGCAGTAAGCTCCAACTACTGCGTTGCACGTAGGCACCTCCATGGGGAACCCACTTTTCTTATAATGCTCAAAGTACTTCAAAGCTTCATCAAGCCTCTCCTCTGAGCCAAGGCCATTGATAAGCATGCAGTACACATGAGGACTTGGCATGCAACCACTTGCTTCCATCTCGTTGAACACCTTGATGGCCTCATCACATTTGCCAGACTTGCAGAAGGCGCTAATCAGCATCCCGTAGGCAACAACATCAGGCCTAATGCCAGCATCAATCATTTCTTGGTACATCGTTTTCACCATCAACAGATCTTTCTCATGTCCCCAACCTTCCATGAGGACAGTGTAGGTTTTCAAATCAGGTACAAACTTACCCTTCCTCTTCATCTCCTTATAAATGGCTTGCGCCTTCTTCACTTGTTTGGATTTGCTTAGCGTGTCAATCAGCCAGTTGTAATCCGACAACTCAGTTTTAAGCCCAAAAATGCTCATCTTCTCGAATGTCTCAACAGCCTCTTTGACCTTTCTAGCCCGAGCATACCTTCGGACGATGAGCTTGAATGTGTCCTTAGACAGCAAGCCCCGGCACCGCATGGTCTCCACCAAGCTCCACACCAACCTGAACTGCTTGATCTTGCCGAGCGCCTCAATCAGGTTGTGGAGGCCCTCAGCCGTGTAACTGAAGCACTCCTGCCTCTCTGCCCAGCGGAAGAAGGCAAGTGCTAGCATCCCAGCATTGCTCAAGTTCTTGAGCACTTCAGCTACCAGCTCTGGAGACATGGCCACCCCAAGCGCATCAAGCGTCGACGCAATCCTTGGTTCTGGTTGTGTGGACACAATACGACACACCATCTTAGCAGCCTCTGACATGCCCACAGGGGTGCCATCCCCAAAGGCGTCGCCCGGCGCGACTGTGAATCGCAGTGGCTCTGCACTGGCGTGCTCATCCGTGGACCGCCGAGCCACAGTACAAAACCCTGAAGCGTGCGTTCGGCCGAGCACCTGGCAGGCATGGCCAAACAGTGTGTGGCATGGCAGTTTTGGTGGAGCAGGAGGTGGAGGCATTTCGTCGAACAGTCCTTGCGCATCTGTAGTGAGCGCGCAGGGGCCACTCCTCACGGAGCTACCGAGCAGGGTGGATGCTGGGCGGGCGAGGCGATGCATCAAATCGTGGTTCTGAGAGGAGGGTTTGAGGGACAAATGATTTTGTAGTGGCGGTGAGCGGTGGGAGGACAATCAGGACGGGAGGGCGTGGCAGCGCCTGCACTAGTGCTAGATGCCTAGATGCAAAAGTTCTTTGTCCTTCTACTATCCAAATAACTGCACAAACAAAATGAGTAACATGTCAGTTCACTAATTATATGCACAAAGTGCAGAGTAACATGTCAGTTACCAAAGTGTGCAACTCTAAATTAGTGTAAACTTGTGGTTCAAACAGTAGTCTGCAAGACTGCAAATGATTAATTTCATAAGTATTCTTATGGTCATATTTTACAATCTGTGACCAGTACCTAGTGAACTGCTTCCAAGCCCTCATGTGCCATATATGGCTGCCGGTGCTAGGGATTTACCTGTGGTTCGGCCAACCACATGTAACACCTTAGCACGTGGAAGTATTAAATATAGCATTATCTATCCAAAAAATCATCAGTAGGATCCTACATTTTTAGAATATTGCTTATTTCACCCATGCATAGTTATTTTCATCTAAAACATTTCAAACAGGTAGCAATACTAACCAATTTTCTTCCCAGCTCATGTAACAGATCCTTGTTAAACTTCAATGTGTACCCATAGCTCAGTTGTTATCTTGTAGCTCCACTTTTTGGGAAACAGAACCTAGTTTGAACCTGAAAACTCATCAGTAGAAGCAAGGTGATCAGGGAAGTAAGCTGAAAGGAGTTAGAAATACATTTCCACCAAGTGTGTCATTGTAGCTATGCACAAATTTCCATTCAGATTGTAGTTCACAAAGAAGACGATAAGAGGCAACGAACATGTTTGATAGCTGAAAGTGAAGATTACCATTTTCTATTGTTCACAAATCAGCATCTAAGCTGAACCATTTGTGCCTAGGATGGCTAGCGGCCATTCAGCTACCATAATTCTTTCTACAAAAATCATGCAAAGTACTTCTGATGCTGTGGAGAAAACACATATAAATATAGCTTGTACTAACAAAGATCAAACATAGGGGGAAAAAAGATAAACATCTTAAGAGGAGAAAGAAATATATCCCCTCTTAGTTTGAAAATAGATTTTGAAAAGGTTGATTCAGAGCGTCCACTTAAGAATGTTTATATCCCCCTCTTAGTTAGGACTTAGGCGTGCACAACCTCTGTTAGGTTCCTGGGCATGTCTGATTATACAAAAATACATGTGCGATGGAAACTTTTCTAATTAATTCACCCACTCAAAATAGATACCATTCATCCACTAATTATGTGCAGGAAACAAACATTCTATCTATTGCATGGAAAGCCTGCAAGTTACAGTAGGACAGATGGCTAGCGTCTCTCCCTCTCCCTCTCCCGTCGCCTCGCCTCCCCCTCCCCACCCGCTGACGCTCACAGCGAGCCCGACGGCCACCTCCTCCCCGGTCGCGCAAGCGGCCAGTTCCTACCCATCGGCGACGGTTTCCTCCCCTCCTTTGTTTTCTCGTGGCGTTCCAAGCACTGGCGTTGGGGCTGTGATAGCCGGGCTTGGAGTGCTCGACGGCTCACCTCCGTCCTTCATGACGTCGTCCTTTCATCTGCTGGCCTGAACTCCTCGGCTCCTTCGGCGGACGTGGCGGCGGATGTCTCTGCCACGGTAGATGCTATCCCCGCGCCGTCCCCTCCCAGGATCGTCCTTATCCGCGCCCCGCTCCTGGCGGCATGATATTAGGGGCGGGTCTGGCGGATGGGAGGAAGTGGTGTCGCGTGGAGAGCGGCGCCGGCGCCGGCGTGAAGCCCACCCCCCTCGTCGCCCCGTCCCATCTGACTTAGTGGGCAAGTGCTTCAACCGCTTTTTCTACGGTCACACTGCTTTGCAGTGCCGGTGGGAAAACCCGTGCTTCATTTGCCGTTCACCGCCACCACCGCCTCTCGTGTCCCAAGGAGTGCAGCGGCGTGCGAGCGTGTTCTGTGCGAGGCGACTTGGGTCGATCTTGTCGCCGCCTTAGCGCCTTCCCATAGCGGTCCTCGGCGGGTGTGGTGTCTGGGGCTACAACAGCTGAACTGCTTGGCGTGGCACAGGGAGCTGTGAACGAAAGTTTGGCGACGCTCGGCCACCGCCGGTGCCGGAACCAACCGATCCTGGCAGCATTCCGGCGGTGAGGTCTCCGTGGCGGTGTGGTGGCTGAGATGGATCGGGCTATCGTTCGGTGCCGCCAGCGAATCTGTGATGACGAGGTCGGGGCCGCCATGGAAGACGGGGGCGGCGACCAGCGTCGTCGGCGTCGACCTCGCTTTCGTCGGCGGTCGCCTCCTCCTCATTTCTGATCCCT